AACTTAAGAATGAATGAATTAGTGGCATCAGTAATACCCTTAAAGTAGAATGAAATGAAATATACTAAAACAATAAAACAATATAAAAATAATGATTTTTGAGAAGTGAATTCATTAATGGCTGTTTGACGTGTTTTTGCACTTCCTGCTTTCAGAAAATCTAAGTTTAATTTTAGTTTCTTTTTCAGTGCAAGTTATACACATCTATGATCGGGTGTACATGCACATACATATACGCAATAGGCAATCCTCGATTCGGCTGTACGTGCATGCATGCACTTTGAGTTTTGCTCACATTACTAACTAATGTATACTTGCACTAGATACTCGGAGGTATAGTCTTACATACATGCAGGCTTACACTTTGGAAGGCCAAATCCACATCTATACCATGCACGCGTGAGATAACTTATAGATATATACGTAACTCTCTTTGAGTACCCGTATACCGGCACCCTGGCCGACGCATATTTATACATCTCCGAATACCCGCATATTTACACAACCAAAAAAGGAAAAGGGTAAGCAATACACGGGAGAAGATATTTGGTATGTATGTATGTGGGGTTTTGTTTTTGCAGAAGTATGCGCCAAGAAAAATAATGAAGGGATAAGCAGCGAAGGTAGATGGATTAGTTGCAGTCCATATCCCGTCCAAGAAAATCGGCAACAGCCGAACGGCCGTGGCCTTGCTGCGCGTCGCCATCCATCCAGCCACCCTGCTTCCTATATATACAGATACAAAGCACGACCGGCAGAAAACGCACGGGGGGCGACGCACGAGGAGAGGAGATACACGGAGGCATCGAGAAACACTAGGAGGAGACGCGCCCGTGCGGCAGCGTCGATGGAGTTGGCATCTTGCGGGAGGAGACGTACATAAAAGATGCTGCTGCGGCAGCGCCGAGGCCGATTAGACGACGAGAAGCTGCAGCTAGCGCCCGGGAGGACGACTCGGAAGCTGCCCAATCTTGGCCGGCGCGTCGGGACTCGGGAGTGGCAACGACGCCCTCATCACCCTCTTTCTTTTCTTT